CATCTACATCCAGATGGACTAACACTTCGCTTCAGCTATTAGCTATTCTCTATTTTCTGTTTCCCATAACTATTAGCTATTCTTTAGCTGTTCTCCACTTTTCAGAGTTTAAAATTCTACCTCATTTTTGTATTTGAAGTACTGTGACTGCTCCTTCATGCTTCGTTTTCTCCTTTCAATGCTCTTGGCTCTTTCATATTTTTTTATTACAGAAAATATTTTTTTCTATGATTTGGATACATTCTATATCATAATTTCCTAACTCGGGATCCCTGGACCTCCTCATGCTCCAGTCTAAAGAGACTTGTGGACTGAATTTAAGAGTTCAGGCATTTAAATGAAGAAAGAAAGGCTTTATATTTTCACTAAATGCTAGCCAAACTGTACCAACTCCTTATATTATGATTGTAATAAACCACTGTAATAAAAACACAATTGCCATAGCTTGTGTCTAGATGTCCCCCAAAGCTTCATGCAGTCATAGGTGCTTTTTCAGAGGTGGTTGGATCTACATTTGTGATGCTGGGATCAAGGATGTGTGATCACTAAATCAGTCCACTGACTGGCCTAGGGTAGTTCTGGGTGTGAGTGCTACCTGCCTAAGGATGGAAGGGGAGTAGCCTAGATAGAATACAAAAAGAATAGAAAGAAGTTGCTATTGTTGCTTGCTTACTTTGCTACCTTCTGCCCTCCACGAACTGTGTCTTCTCTGTGATGCCTGTCTGTTATGCTGCCCTGAGTTGGAGCTCGCTGACTATAGACAAAAATCTCCACAATCTGTGTGCCACAAAAAGCTTTTCTTCTTTAAGTTTAGATGTCAGGTATTTTGTTTAAGCAATGAGGAAAAGTAACTAAGACAATAACTTTGTTATCAATAGAAATCATAGGTATTTTTCATAGAGATATAGTATGTTAAAAGTTTATTTTTTCCCATTACTACTTCAAAATCATGCTGGCTATTTGATCTACCGCTAGACTTTTCTATCTCATGTCTCAAAAAGACATACACATACTCGGATGTAGTGAAGCATGCTAACTGGAGGAGGCAGGAACCCAACCTCAGCAACTTAGTGATTGAAGGAGATCCTGTTTCAAAATAAAAATTAAAAACACCTGGGGAATGTAGCTCGGTGCAAAGCCTCCGTGTTCAATCTCCACTGCAACCCCAGCAAAACATACAGCCATATCAAGACTGTGCTCAATATTTTGATAACTTTTAAAAATACAATGTATAATATTTCCTTTGTAATCCCGAGTCTTTTTATTTTTTAGTGAAGTACTGGAAAGATTTTTTAATGAAATAATCCAGTCCTTATCAGGTTGCTAAAGGATTCCTGGAACTCTCCTACCTTCCCACACAACAACAACAAAAAAAAAAAAAAAACAAAACAAAAACAAAAAACCCCAAACAGTTAAAGGAAAAATCAATCCTACTTGAAAATACTTTTGACAGCAGTCTACCATGACTTATAAAGGGGATCAAGTCCTTAGTAAAACAGCAAGAAATTTTCTAAAGCTTAATGACTCCCTCAGTTTTCTAAGGCCTATCTTTATCTGCCTTCTCTGTAGATTTCATTTGTCAGACTGGTATCAAATCCTCTCTGTGGTGAGATATTCTGGTGCTGGTCTTGGATCTCTAGTTTATATTCGATTGCTTTCAACTCTTGGTTACTCTAACAATGAGTTGACTAACTCTTGGTCCCAGCTCTATAGTTGCCTGGTTAGGCTGTTCCTGGACTGCTAACAAACTTCATCCTGCACAAAAATTCCTTCAGAGTAAAAAAAAATAGAGCTATTAACTGAGTATAGCCCTTCGAATGCTCACAAATTAAGTAAAAATTCTCAGTTATGGTACTTCTGTTTAGACAAAACAAACTCCATTTGTGGAGGTTTGTGGTCAATGGCCCCTCCAAGCCTCATACTATCATGGATGTGGCTGAATCTAGCATTCATGATTGGTTTGTTGTCTAGCGCTGGGATTGTCAATGTGAGTGTTGCAGCAGCTTAGGGGTGGACCCAACCCACAGAGCAAAGGTGGCAAGAAGGCGTGTCTCTCTTCTTTTCCTCTGTTAGACCTTGCTGTTTGCAATGAACAGTGGCCCTGCCATGCCATCCTGACTTGGAACTAGCTGAATATGGACTGAAAGCTCCTAGAAATGTGAAAAACAACAACAACAACAACAAAAAACCCTTCCCTTGTTTCACTTTGGGCATCAGGTATTTTGTCTCAACAACAAGAGAAAAGTAACTAAGTCACGCCTGAACCAAGATGAAGAGTTTGTGATATGGATATAAAGATAACACCCAGCCTCCAAGATGAAGAGTATCTGGACAGATTAAACCAGGAACAGGGATTTGCAAAGCTTTTCTGTAAAAGCACAGACCATAGATGGTTTAGGTTATAGTTTGAGAACCCTTTCAGCGGGAACACTTCTGCTGAAACTTGTCATTTTCCACAGCTTTGCTGTCCTCTTCCTGACTAGCTGCTTCAGCTTCTCTCTTTTGCACATATGAACATAACTTCCCTTATGGCTGAGACCTTATATGTCACCCAAGGGCTCACGTTTTGAAGGCTTAGGGGCCAGCCTGTGGCGTTGCTGGGATGTGGTAAAACTTTAAAAAAGTGAAGTCTAATGGAGGGAATCCTGGTCACTAAGACTAGAGAAGAGAAACAGCACCCAGGAGACAGAGGGCTGGGTGATACCGGGGACCTGGCTCCTCTTCTCTTTCTCTTTTTGCTTCCCGACTGCCATGCAGTAAGCAGCCCTTTTTGCCATGTTTCCATTTCCAGAAGGTACTGAGCCACCACAGGCTCCAAATGGGGGAGCCAGTTACTGTGGGCTGAAATAAACCTCCCCTCATTTTTCACTGTTCATCTTAGAAATGTGTCTGTGATAGGAAGCTGCCACCGTTTCTGAAAGCTTTGAGCTTGTGTCCCAAATCCAAGCTCACTTTTTCAGTTTGAATTCCAAGCCCTTGGGCTAGGGACGGGGTCTGCCCTTGTTTGATTCAGGTGCATCCTCAGCCCAATCAGCTGCGGCCAGGGGTCTGATCCAGCTGTGTGAAAGGGACTTGGGGCACTAGCCCTACCACTCTAGGACTGGAGAAGAGAATCAGCACCCAGGAGACAGATGGCTGGGCAGACAAACCAGCCAGTCTTTTGTGCATCCATTCAAACCATCTTCTTCTGCACTGTCCTTGACCAGGCCCTCCTATCCCTCACTGCCCTCATATCCCTGACCAGCCCTTATTCACTCTGAATACCATCCCACATCCTGCCTGTCATGGGGACTGGACTCTTTAAAGTCCTTTCTACCAAAGGTCAGCTTTCCTCTTTCCTTTGTAGCTGCACAACGTTCTATTAGCACAGTTTGTCTTGTTCTGTCACTATTTTTATACCTGTCTTTCTGCTCTGTGGACAGTGGGTGCTCTGCTGACAAAGAGGACTTAACCCAACTTTCTATCTCAGCTAGAACCTGGTAGACTGAGTTCAAATTTATTGTTTACGTCTTCAAAACTAAACAATTCCAAACTGAAGAAAATGTTGACCTCTATAAACACTTGTATTAAATGGGAAATGTCTAATTTTATGAAACTATCATAATTTTATAACCATTCATTTCCACATTAATGGTAGCAACATTAAAGCATATTTAGAGAATGTTAATCATAGCAAAACTTAAACATCTCGGGCACTAAAAGGAAATAAGGTCTATTGTATTATTGAGCTAAATTTATATTAAAGTTTCTTTTCTTTTCTTTGTTTTTTTGGTAGTGGGGATCAAACTGATGACCTTGTGCCTGCCAGGCAGGCACTTATGCTGCTGAGCTAAATTCCCAGCCCTTGAGCTAAATTTATAAAAGAATTACAATTTTGTTTAACATAAACAATAGCAAGGATTCGAGATTTTAAATATGCAAAATCGTTTTTAAAAATCTCCAAAATGATCAGTGTTTCTGTCCAAGGAATTTTCCAAAGAGCCAGAGGCCCCATCATCTAATTTCTTTCTTCCTAGCGCTGTTAATTAACATTGTTCTGCTAAAACTCCCCCATTGAAAGGAAGAAAGTAAACAGTCCTGCCAGGAAACCTGGTTCATTTCCACCAAACTGTGTGCGGCTTGAGTTCCGTCAAGGATAAAACCCTGGCGAGGGAACGGTCCCCAGACCATTAGCCGCTACGTGAAAGCTTTCCATTGAGCAGCATCCTCCCGGGAGACCGCGCTGGAATGCGCAGCAGGTTTGGAAAGGGCCAGTTTGGCGCCGCCGTAAACACCAGGTGCCTGGAGGCCCCGCCACGGGGTAGGGCGGGGTGCGGCGGGTGGGCCCCGATTCTCTGGCGCGATAGGATTCTAATTTCGCTTGGTATTTATTTTTTCTACTACGATTACATTTCTGCTGAGAAAAAAAAGGATCTCGGTTGTGTCCTCATCTAGCTCTCTAAGGCTCAGCGTCTAGGGAAAGAGGAAAACTTCTCATTTACCTAAAAGGGTCGCCTCTGTGCGGCCCCCAGGTGCGCCGGCCCAGCCCGCCTCGGGCCCCCGCCCCTCCGCCCCGCGCCGGCCCAGGGGCCCGGAGACCGCGGGTCTCGGACGCTGCGCGCCTGAGCCCCGACGCAGAACTGGGCCGGGACCCGGGCCAGGCCCTCCGCCTAGTCCTCTGGTTGCCTCAGTTGTGTCTGAACCGGTTCCCTCGGGACCAGTTTCCCTCAGCCCCGACTCCACCCCCGCCCTCCAGCTGCGCCGCGAGGGACTGGACTACAATTCCCGTCGGGTCCCGCGGCATCTTCGCCCCGCCCACTTCCCCGCCCCCTCCTTGGACCGGCGGGAGGAGCCGGCCGCGTCCAGGGAACCCGCGCACAGTCCGTCGGCGCTGCGAGGATGGGCGTCCGCGTGTTCGTCGCGTCGACCTCTGGCTCGGTGGCGGTGAGCGGGGAGGGTTCCTGTGGGCAGGGCTCCTCGAGGCGAGTTTGTGCGGGGCGCGGTCCTCTCCTGGCAGGTGGTCCGAGCGACCTGTCACGGCGGGACCACGGTGAACCGGACGGGAAAGAGGGCGAGTGGGAGTCTCTGGGCGCGGCGGGAAAATGGAGCCAGGCACCCCTGCTCCCGCAAAGAGGCTCTGGAACTTGGGGAGCTGCTGGGGCGTCGTAGAGGTCTTCCTAGTTTGGAGCCTTCGGTCGGCTGTTTTGTGCCAGAGACCGAGGGGGCTGCTTGGGTTTGCTAACCTGGCTCCTGAATGAAACAAGTTCAGATGCGAGCTGCTCTCCACCCTTTCTTCCCAGCCACCAACATTTCTGTACTTTTATACCTGAGCGCCCAGCACAACCAGGTTTGTCTTGTTCGGCGAGGGATGTTTGTTTAATCACTTTCTGGCTTCAGGCGCTGTAAATATTTTACATCTATATGTAAGTGTGTGTCCCATGGTGTGGTGAATTGCATCTTAGGAATCTAAGAATTGTGGACTCTAGTTGTTTTTAGCTGTTATTTAAGAAGTTGGTTCCTTTTTTTTTTTTTTTTTTTGTAAGTTGAATAGGCAGCGATACCAGATTTTAAGGAAAAATTCAGTAGTATACTTGATAGCCCACTGTGAAAGACTGATAGCATGTGTGTTTTATAAGCTTTTTGCAACTTGGGTTTCCTTAGCCAAGAGATAAACTATAGATTTAAAAACTTCTTAATGTGTAATCGGATACATCCAAAAGTGTCACCATATTGATTGTTTGAAGTTGGTCTATCCAGTATTAATTGACTGTCCAGTTAGTTCAACCAAATTGTCCCATACTCTGTGGGGTGGAGGATGAAGTAAAATATTGTGTGAAAATCCTTAGATGGTAAAAGATCTCTCTCCAACAATAGATAGCAACCTCCAAGTTATCTTTATATGCAGCCATGTCCTCCTTTTCAAACTGCTGGCAGTTCTTGGTGTTTTTATAACTTGTGGTTGCTTAGTCATACCTGTCTTTCGTCGATTTCCCCCTTGAGGTTGCACTTCAGAAACATATAATGTTTCATGGGTAAACTTATTCAGATGCACTCCTTACTAAGAATACTATGACGCTTTTGATTTCACTATTAACTTGCTTTTTAAGTAGTTTTTCCACCAGCATTTTATTGGTTGCAGAAGGGATGCTTTAAAGTAATAAGCCTAAGTAATCATGGGCGAATTAGAGTCAAGTCAAGATTATTTCTTGGATTATCCTGTCAGTAAATCAAAATGCCTGCCCTGTACCTTTTTAATTTTTAAACTTAATGCTATGTTTTCCACATGGAACTGAAATTGAGAGACTGAAGTTTTGGGGTGAATGCTGACTAGGGACATAAGTTTAGATTAGGTGTTTCACCTCTGCTTGAGTTTCGTGCCTGTAAAATGAGAGATTTTGATGAGTAACTAAAAAATGCATCATAGCTTTAAAATGTCTTTCAATTCATAAAGCATGGGTGAATCCTTTTAATGAGTTCCTTTTGTTTGAACAGTGTGCTTATTAACCTTAAAGTGAATTTATTCTTCTCACTGAATGTTTTACTGGGATGTCTCAGGTCTCCTCATTGTGGTTTCATTTCAGCTGGAAGACACTCAATTACCACATATTCACAACCCTAATAAACACTAAGTTATTTCTGCTGTGTAAAGACCCAATGTTTCAGGTCTTAGACAGACCTCATTCATTGAGTCTCCTTAATTGTAGTATTATCCCTGTATGAGTACACAGTTTTCCAGTAATATCAAAATCATTTCTGATGATGTAACGTTATACTCGTGTAAGAATAATGATTTTGGAGGTTAGAGGTGTAGCTCAATGGGAGAGTGCTTGTTAGCATGCATGAGGCCCTGGGTTCAATCCCTGACACTGCCAAAAAAGGAAGAAAGGTTTCTTAGAAGTAATGAAGATGGTTAGGTCATCTCTTAAATTGGGGCACCTAATGAGACTTACAGCATTAAGTGGTATCGTGCTATCATGGGAGAGCTGTGTTTTCCCTCCAGCTGTGATGAGATTGACTTTTGGCATTGTTTTATTCACTACCCAACCTTGACCAGCAAGTCTGTGGAAGAACCCATGATTTGATTCCCAAGTCAGTTTGCTTTTGGTAGAAATTTATTAAGTTACAAGGATGGAATGTGACTAGAGTTAGACTTAGTTAAGTCCCAGGGATTTCTGAAAAATGCTGTGTTCTAGTCAGCAGTACATTTAAACAAATTGCTGTATGTTTTCCTTACAATATTGGGGATTAAACCGCACTGAACTACACCCCAGCTTTCAATTTATTTTGAGACAGGTCTCCTAAATTGCCCAGATAGGGTTCAAATTTATAATTCTTCCTCAGTCTCTTAGAGTGTTACTACACCCAGCTCATTTAAACAAACTATTTAAAGGAAGTACCCTTCCCTTGTAATTCCCCTGGACTCAACTTCAGCAGCTGGAATAACCAGCAAGGACTGATGATTGACCTTTCATCCTCCCTAGCACTAGGTGAAGTCTACCTTTACTAGCAAAAAAAAAAAAAAAAAAAAAAAAAAAAAAGTGATGCTGCATTAAGGCATAGAAAACAGAAAATCAGATTTCTTGTGGAACTGATAACACTGCTGTCATTCATGGTACAGTGAAGGGGCGTGTTATTTCTAAGAGAATTAGTACAGGTGTAGAAATGTCATTATTCATTATTCTGAATTAATTTATTCCCAAAAGGGGAGACCTTGGTAACTTTGTTCAGAAATTATGTTAATACTACTTTTAATTTTAAAATTGAAATCATTTAGTTGTTTCACTCAACAGTATCTTTCAAGAGTGTCTGCACCTTGCCAGCTTTGTTAGTCTCCTGGGAATCAGTGGAGGCTAGAGGTTGTGGTCTCGATTCTCAAGGTATTTGTAGATTAGGTGGGGAGATATGCTAGGTAGAACTAGTATGGTAAAGTACAGCCCAAGGACACATGCCTCTCTCAGGAATATTCTTACCAGAGATAGAAATAATATAGGCAGCAGAGGGAGACATTGCAGAATGTCAGATAAGGAGGAAATGTGCTAGGAATCATAAAATATGCATGTGGGAGTCTTGGGAAGATGTCAGGGAGAGGAACTGAGTTAGATTTGGAGCTTGGGAGAGAGTTCATAGTGCGTCTCGCTCAGGTTCAAATGCAGGAGGTTTGGGTGGGAGTAACAGACTACAGAGAACCCCATGGCCCTCTTTTCAGGACAAGGTAGACTCTTAAATCCCTGAAGGAAATTCATGATAACTTCCCTCTTGGTTCTCAGCGTCTCAGTGATGTGTTTTGTGTGTGCTGCTGGAGCCTTCTGTCCTTCAGGGAATCCTCAAGGTCCTGTCTTGCAGGGAGGTGTGTGATATCAGAAGAAGCTCTACCTTCCTATTTGCCTTGACTCAAATTTCACAAAAGAAATAAAATGTTTTACTTCTTATTAAAGTTCCTAGGCTTGGAGTTGGAAGGAAGTTGAAAGATATTTTCTAGTGAAGCCCAACCAATTTTATAGGGAAGTGAGTTTGGAATCAGCTGAGATGTAATTGGAAACCAGTGTCCTTGTTCCTGAATATATTCATTAATGAGTCCATCTATCTATACATTCATTAATGCACTGGTTTGTTTAACAATCAAGGGTTGGAAATTAAGTACCAGACTCTTTGATGATATTAGGTAATGTTTGTCAAGGTGATCAGGAAAGGACTTGCACTGTATGTACCTCATTGCATAAATGAGTGTTGCCACCTTTAAGCTCAGACGTGGTATGCAAGCCTAAATCAAAGAAGAAAGCCTGATTCGGTGGGCAGAGCAAGATGAGGTAGATAGCACTATATCCTGGATGTTGGGGAGCAAAAGAGAGAGATTGGAAGCAAAGTTGCAAAATGTGGAATTTTGTCTGGGGCTGTGGTATTGTTTTCAAGTAAGGGTGGGTATGAAGAGGAACAAAGGATCTTCGCTCAGGATTATCTTGTAAAATGTATACTTAGTGTTTTGCAAGGTTATTTTAAACATGCAATTAAGAGGCAAGCTGTAGCATCCAGCTACAGTGGATTCAGTGAAACTTCACTGTGTAAGGAAACCTCAGAAAAAAACTCCAGAACAGTTCTTGTCAGGATATGTTTGTGCATAATGGGTAGTGTTGTTTCCTAAATTAGTCTAATGTCACAAACAGCTTGGGCAAGTATGCCTGGATTCTTAGAATCTTCACTGTGGTGCACAAGGAAGTTATTTACTGTGATCTTACAGATGAAGAGGCTGAAGAGAACTGATTTGATGGAGATACTACTTAGTAAGGTCATCGGGCTAGGAGTCAGACCTTGGTGGAAGACAACTGGCTCAAAACTTCTAGAGCAGAAGTTCTCCTGTCCCACCTTGGGGGAACAAGAGTTCCTTAGCCTGTAGTGAGCAGGGCCTTGCCCAGGGAGCTGTCTACTCGGCCCAAGTGGTGTGGGAGCATTGGCCCTGGGTCAGGAATGTGGGACCAGGTTAGAGAGGAGGGCTGTGTCTACTAGAAGTGATCAGGAGAAGAAGGAATAAGTAGGGGTCCAAGGACAAAGATGTGATATAATAGGTAAGAAAGATGTAGCTACTCCTTTCCTCGGACTGCCTCAACAAAACAGCAAAACCTGTGGTGCTTAACTCTTGGGACATAAGACTAATTTTGTCAAGGCACATAAACATAGGTCTGTCAGACCCACATTGCTTCTTTAGAATATTTCTATTGATGAATTATTAATTTTAATTTTATAAGTTTCATTATATTAAATATATACCTGATAATAGGGGAACAAAACTTCCGAGCTACTATATGTCTAGTATGAGTTCGTGTTCTCTAAAATTGAATAAATTTTAGGAAACAATGGAGGTTAAGAGTGGAATATATTTATGGAAAGAAAGAAAGCTGCTGTTTGAGAGACAGAAGGGGTCCTGAGTGGGTTGCCAAAGACTGTGTTTTCTAGGGACTTTTATAGAATAAAAGTCATGAGGTAAGATGGATCAAAGTTGGGGAAAAATGAGAATTTGCAAGGTGGGCGTAAGGTAGGATAGAACTGTGGTCAACCAATAAGATTAATTGCTCAGATAAAATTGACTAAATTAGGAGCAAATGGGGGAGCGAGTCACATAGTAATTGAGCATGCTTAACAATAGTGACTTGCTGTAGTGGGGTGGGTTGCTGACTCCTGACTTCTTTAGGGTGATAGAGGACTATTTGGACTGTCCATCCTTAGGATGTGGTTGTATTTACTTTGCCTTTTATTCCATGTACAAGTCTGTCTTACACTGACAGCACGTGTGCTTAGGTTTTCTTTCCTGTTTGGCAGTCTTGTCACCTCTCTTCCTGTTTTGTCAGGATTTTC